TTTCAAACTTGAGCTGGACAAGGAGTGGTAACTCTTATTCCCAGAACTGCCCTAGGGATCGGGGTTCCCTAAGTTTACTGATGGAATGCATATAACAGATACTGCGCCGTATCCCTTTCCCTTCCACCTTCCAAATATTACTCCCTCGTGGAGAATCGGAAGAAGCTTTACACTCGCAGGCGAGTCGGTCCACAGACGGAACTCGCCATTACCAGGACACCCAACAGGCGAAGGCCTCTCTACGTCCTGTGATTTGAATTTGAATTTGACCTGACCTTAAGTTGTCATAACAACATTGGTCCTCGAAGACTCGCCACAGATTCAAATTTAAGATGTCGATCAACATATAGGTCATTAGGGACAAATGTGCCAGATGAACAAATTTGTTCCTTTGTGTATAATTTCTTTTATATACAATAATAATATCATCATTAATATAATGATAACAAGAGGCGTGAACTCACGATATCAACGTCAAATATTCAGGTTTCCTGCTGCGCATTAAGCATTGTACCCTAGAATAAAATCAGCAGCTTGGAACTTCAAGCTAGCAGAGATAAAGAGGTACAAAAGTGTGGATTAATTGAAAAATTATACACCGTTGCTGCCAAATTATGTTTTACGACCGTCACCTGAGCATCCCCCAAATGTGTCGCATTCGGACGCTCAGGTGATGGTCGAGGGAGTCACTCAAGGGATGCTCAGGGGACGCCCAGGTAACGCTCATGCTGTATTAGCTGATAGCATTTACAGAAGCTCGGGCTTCTGTGTATATAGTTAACGTTTATAAACGCTAACTATCAGGAGTCAATGATGGGGGATCGTCACTGACCAACGAGAATAATATCACATGAGCTGCTATAGCAGCGTATGCGTATAGGCTTCCTAATATTTCTTCATTTAGTTGAATACCTAGATTTTCGCGACCGTGAGTAAATGACTCATGTAAATGTTTACATATGTATCGTACCTCTATGGGCTCGGTCAAAATGGTAATACTCCACTCACTTTGCTCTCACGCAGGTTTTTTCCTTGTTCAGTTTGTTCTACCTGGTCCAAAATCTAGTGATGGACAAATATGGGATACCGGCTGAAATACGGTTACGAGAGCTCGCGCGATGTACATAGTGCGGGCGTTTGTACGTAGAAACACAGATTGCCGGAAAATGTTGTAAGCGGCTCAACAGTTGTAGCCTTCAAAAAGGCCTTGGATCTGTGCTGGGATGTGGTTTTCCCGGAGCTGGCAATTTGAGGGACAATAACGGAATAAGAAACAAGCAGAACGAACCTTTGACGAGCAGTGTTGGAAGCCAAGGAAACTAGCTGACAATACAAATATCTGGACGCACGATTGGTCTCGGCCACTACTGTCCTGTGCAAACTGAACTGAACTGAACTAATTTTACATTTTTCTCACAATTTTGACATTCCCGTTGACCTTTTTTCTGTGGCATGCTGGAAAATAGACAGAATAAAATTTATCTGATACCTAACACGGCCTTGATTGTTTCTTTCGTCAGGAGCACGGACAGCATAACGTCGTCCACCACTAGACTGGGATTACCACAGTCTGTAGAGAACATCAAAGATGACGCAAAAATTGTCTACAAATTATACTACCTAGCGGAAAATGATAAGAGTTGAACAAATCATATCCATTGCTTTTACGTGTTGTTATAAAAGTGACGGGGAGAGTAACGGTAGTAAAAGATTGACCTCCAAATAGAGAGCTAAAAATTACTGAAACACAAAAATACATATCTTGCCTCAAGAAGTCAATGCGAATGTAGGACTACATCTGGTACTTAATGAATGCAGGGAACCAGATAAAATAGTAACCGCACTTCTCTGACGTTTGAGTCATCAGTGCGGTTTGATCGCTTTTGTCTGACCTCGGCAGCACTGGAAACTGTGGAAAATCGAGGTTTATTTGAACAATTGTTCAGTCATTGTTAGCATTTTGTGTGAAATTCATGCAACGTCTTATGAGAACAGTTAACGTTTTGGTTAAGAGAACGGTGTCTACAAAGATTTGTCGAGAAGCGACAATGCTAAACAATCTTAGTTTTCAAAATGTTGAGGATCTGTTGTTCATTAAAACTATTTTATCGGGGTACTTATCTATGTAAATAGAGCCCTTTTAGTGGATGATAGGCTATCGATGTTAGTCCGAATCTTTCACCAATGCTTGGTCAAATTTGTTCTCATAATTCACTCCGGATGAAACAAAAACAAAAGTTGTGATGGTAAAAAACGCATATTCTGGCAATTACAAAAATGTTCGAAATGAGTTGCCGCTGGCTTGGATGTTGTGATGCGCACTTGGACTAGTAACTGGTGTGTGTACTGAAATCTCCGTAGTAACAGTCTAACCTAACAACTTGCAATTAAATCAGAACGTGGCAACTAAAAAAAAATTCGAATTGTAACAAGTGGAAAGGCAGAATGTACAAGGATATCGTGTACAATAAAAAAACGGGTTCATAGTCTGTGTGCAATCATCAAACTTAGGCTAGTATTTTAGCAGCGGCAATGTAAATATAAAAGATCTGATCAGAGTAGAGAAGGCTTGCAAAACAGAGCTCGTTACGGAGGATTGTCGATGCGATTTATTCGAACTCATTAAAAGCATGATAACAGTAAGAGTAAAAGTCAACTATAAAAGTTGTAAAGTTGTTATTACTGCTTTCCTGGAACGATCAGTATCCCCAGTGTTTGGCGATATTAGCCGTACATTGACGAGGCATTTGATTGCGATCGGTTGAGGGAGAAAAGGTTTTTTATCCTCAAAGAGTAAGTTTTACTTCTGACTAGTTCTTGTAGCTACTGGATGTGATCAAACAGCTAAGTTGCTAATGGTTATATATCTGAACCTTGTTGTTTCTGATAAATGTGCCATGATTACGTTGTCATATCCTGATTATCCTCAACTACGCAGGACTGAATTGTAACTTAATCTGTTCTGCTGCAAATGTTCGGTGAAATTGGTTCTTGACTGTAATTATATAATCCCATCCAGCGTATATGGATCTACCAGGGAAATTTAGGAAAACAAAGGGGTAAGAAGAGAAAACTGCCGTTTTGAAACTGCAGGGTAAAGATCCGCTACACTATCGATGTAGGACGGGATGGTGATTCAGCGGCAATCATCACACCGGCATGTCGGAAAAAAATGTGCCATAAACTGTTGTAGTTCGTACTCGGACTAGTATTTCGTATACGTATCGGATTCCGCGCAGTAATAGTCTGACTCAGAACTAGGACTCGAAACGAAATCAGAAGACAGAACTCAGCGACGGAATGGAACTGTGATAAGCGGAAATTCAGAATGTACAAGGATATCGTGTTCAATAAAACAAGAGTTCATAGTTCATGAGCAATCACCACATCCGCCGCAGCTTGAATAAAGCTCGGGTTTTATGTAATCACGGCGGGCTTTGTTGAGTAATCGTTCAGATCTTCTGGGTTCTTCTGTACTGTTTTCTACATTTGTACTGGGATGTAAATCCTCTGAAAAAGACTCAGAAATAAAAGGATTAGTAGGTTCACAACTAGTATCAGGATAGGGCAAATTACAAATTACTTGGTCTTCATGTCTGCGATGTACAGTGCCATCGTCTATATCCAATATGCGGTATACTCTTTGTCCCATATTTTCCAGTACAACGCCCCTGGAGGGTCGTAAATCGTTACCACCATGATACACGACTTCCGCTGACTCCAAGCGTAGAAGATTTGTTCGAAGTACTCGACTCTTAAACAGCTTTGCTGGACTGTGTCCCGTAGTTGAATGTACTACGTTACGGTATTGCATCAGAAAGTTATCAATGCCTCTGTCCAGTTTGTCGAATGTAATGAGATTCAAAGAAGCAGTGGCACTCTTCAGCGTGAGTACAAAGCTTTCGGCTGCGCCATTGGATTGCGGATGTCGGGGTGGAGTGAGAACATGCCGACAACTCACGGAGTTCAACCCATCAGTAACTTTCTTGGCAGTGAAATGACTTCCATTGTCAGTTACGATAGCATGCGGGACACCTTTGCTATCGTAACTGACAATGGAAGTCATTTCACNGGGAGTTGTGGTAAAGTACACTTCTGGCCAACGGGAATAGGAATCGACGATCAACAATGCGTAATACTTGTTAAAGAATGGATCACAGTAATCCACATGTATTATTTGCCATGACTCGGAAGATAATGGTCACGGAGTCCGTTTCGAAGGCTGTCTGTGAGTTTTGTGCACACAATCAGCACAGGATTTTGCAACACGATTCAGATCATGATTCAATTCAGGCCACCAGCATGTGAGACGAGCAAGAAATTTCATCTTTTCAATGCCGAGATGATCGGAATTGAGAACAGCAGTACGTATTGTCGGAGGTACGATAATGTGGTCATTGTAGCACAAGATACCATCACACGTCACAGAAAGTTCCTCACGACGTTTATAGAATTCCGGAAATCGACGCTTTATGTCACCTCGCCAACCTCGACGGACACAGGAAATGATAGCGTGGTAATATTTCCTGGTCTCGCGAGCTAGATTAGATCAGCTTACCGGGAGCGGTTGAGTGAGTAGACAATCACCCGTAGAAGTCTCCCCTGAAGTGGCGTGGCGTGAAAGATAGTCTGCATATGGAATGGACTGCACGCTGCGGTGATGGATGTCGTAGGAATAGGCGGATAACGCAATATTCCATCGCTGTACCATGGCTGAAGATGACTTAGCCAGGGAACGTTGAGGGTTGTAAATGAACTGCAGGGCTTCATGATTACTCACGATAGTGAAATAAATGAGTACCATAAAGATACTTGTGAATACGCGTGACAGTCCAATAGACAGCTAGAGCTTCTCGTTGATTTTGGGAATACCCGCGTTCGACAGCCGTGAGTCTGCGTGAGATGCACAGCACCGGATGACCATTCTGCTCCAACACAGCTCCAATTCCAACGGGCGATGCGTCTGTGATGACGGTAGAGTGTAATTGTGGGGGAAAAGGACGTAAAACAGCACTGATGGATAAAAAGGAAAGTAACTTCCTCAAGGCACGTTCATGGACCGAAGTCCACCGAAATGTTTGCTGGGACTATAAATCGAACAACGGAGTAGCTTGGGTTGAAAATTTAGGAATAAACTTGGAATAGTATTGTAAAGAACCAAATAAAGAACGAAGTTCATGGAATGACTTGGGAGATGGAGCATTAGTCAACGAAGAAAATCTATTAGGATCAGAACGAAATCCGGATTCATCATCCAAATTACCTAAACAAGAAAATTTAGTCGTAGCAAAGGTACATTTATCAGGGTTAATAAAAATATTGAGAACGAATTCTTTCAAGCAAAGCACAAACGTTCGTCATGTAAGTGTCTGCTAGGTGCCTGAACAATAATATCGTCCTGATAGGCACATACACCTTGTCAGCCAGAAATGATGGAATTATTAGTAGTTTGAAAAAAGCGGGGGAAACACTGAGTCCACACGGTTGAAATTTGTAGCGAAATAAACCAAAAGGTGTGTTAATAGTCTTGGGTTCACGGGACTTTTCATCCAGAGGAATTTGAAGAAATGCATCTTTCAAGTCTAGACTAGAAAAATTTTGGATCCATGAGGTTCGTGCAGAATGTCTTCTGGTTCGACGGTGGCACAGCTAGACTGTTTTAGGTGTCTGTTCACAGTAAATCGATAACCCCCACATATCCTACGAGTCTTACTGTCACGTCTTAGTGGAGTAACAATTGGCGTGGCCCAAGCAGAAGAATTTACGCATGTCAGAACTCCCTTGCTTACCATTTCATCTAACGCCTTTTTTACGGGCTCACGAAGTCCAATTGGGATTATCCGACGTTTCATAAACACCAGAGAACCGGTCACTTCGAGACTCACAGGAGTCATTTTCATACCACCCTTTGCCTTGGAACATTCAAGTACTAAATGACGAAGGCGTGATTGATGGGAGTCAGATATGAATGAAAATGACAGATGCATACAATTCATATAATTCAAACCAATTATAGAAATGTCGGAATCAATAACCAAAAACGGGCAGTGAAATATTTGTGATTTATCGTCTTTAAGAAGCAGTTCGCATGATCCTAAGACGGGCAAAAAATGACCGGTAATTCCCGTAACTGAAATGTCTGTTGTGGAAAGTGCAACTGAGGGGTTTAACTGACGAACTACCTTGTTGGAAGTAAAAGAATCAACACTGCCGGCGTCCATAATGCATGGCGAATGTAGTCATTAATGATGAAGTCGCGAGTGATATGGCGAAAGGGACGTGAACTGGTACTGGCTAGAATTAAGGACTGTAAATCACAATAAATCTTTAGAGGAATGGACCGTCGTACGTTTGGTAAGACATGACTTCGCACTTTTACAGACAGATTGGATATGGACAAGCTTACCCCAATTGTGACACTTGGCATTTCGAAATCTACAGGATAACCGCGAATGTCTTTGACCACAGGAATTGCACTTGTTCCATCTTTGAATCCGTGTGTCATTGTGGGCCGGAGAACTGATGTTGCTTGGTGTTTTCGAGCCCTTTTCGAAAAATTGCTTTCGTAGGGATGGTGACTGTTTGGAATCGCTGGCATTGAACAACAAGTTGGGTTCATCACAAATAATGGCACGGACGTCTTGGTACTGTTCACAAACTGCCGTAGCCAACTGAAATGTGCAATCGTGCATGAGCATGAGCTTTTGCTGTAATTCCGGGCAATTGATACCGGCAATCAATCGATCACGTAACTGGGTGTGCAATTGATCTCCGAAGTTGCAACGAGATGCTTGAGTCTGAATTTGAGGAATAAAGTCACGTACAGGTTGGCTTCCACCACGTGTGAGTGATTGAAATTTGGCTCGTTCAGCAGCTTCGAAATTAGCCGCCAGTAGATGCTTCAGCAGCAAGGTTTTCAGGGATTCATACGACAACAATATAGGAGAGTCAGGAAATGCCAAATTCTCTAACAATGAGTAGGCATCCTTTCCGATGATCGTTAGGAAATAAGCCGTTTTGCGTTCTCCATCGAGTCCTTTCCGCGTAATACACCAAATCTCCAATCGTTCAAGATAGTCTTCGACCTCGCGCGCACTGGCATGTATATTCAAGTTCTCCAAATTACAGGACTCCATTGGTTCAAAACGACCGTGACGCCAGTTGTTGTAGTTCGTACTCGGACTAGTATTTCGTATACGTATCGGATTCCGCGCAGTAATAGTCTGACTCAGAACTAGGACTCGAAACGAAATCAGAAGACAGAACTCAGCGACGGAATGGAACTGTGATAAGCGGAAATTCAGAATGTACAAGGATATCGTGTTCAATAAAACAAGAGTTCATAGTTCATGAGCAATCACCACATAAACCCCCAACATAGCATAAAGTAGCTAGATTAATGTGGTTGTGGCAACTGCTGCTAGTTCATCATATCGAGCTCTTCATAAAACGACAAATGTTGGAGTTATGTGCAATCGTATGGTACAGTGGGGCTCATAACGCATCACAAAACGGGACGTATTCGATGTCGAGTGAATGGGATGTGATTAAAGTAGTATCATGAAATAGCAAAACTTGAGCTCATTCAAATTGTTTTGATCCAAGTTTACGAGTTTAAAGTTTGTCAGGGCTTAGCATTTTTACTCTCCATGTTATATTAATCCCCCGACCGCTTTTAATGTCAAACTACCAATTGATACTCAAGACAGTCAATTTTATGAGCGTGTATAAAAATATTCAATATGAGCCGTGGCTCAGTATTACAATAAATCAGATTTATGTCGCTTTTGGACTACTCCATAAACAGCTTATCCGTGCCAATTGTCATTTCAGATGAAAATTAGGCGGTCACGAAAATTAGAGAATCAGTTGGGAGTGTCACGGATTCGGCGAATCGCACAGTCTGCTTTGTTGACTGGAGTCATTCGTGAGTCTTTGGAACGATTACGGACGCAATTTTTCCCCGAACAGTCCGAAGCGGCTCGGGGAGCGAGAGTTGAGGAAGACGAACCACCGGACATTGGAAAACACGTTACCGTTACGTGAGTGATCAAACTGCTGATGGCAGAGAGAAAGATTTTATTCCCTTCCCCCAATGACAATTGTGATCTCTCGTTGTACCGTCGTAATTGTGGAAATTTTTGAAACGATTAAAAAGATGGAATATGAAAGAACGACTCGCAATCGTATTTGGGGTCTTAATATCATTCTTTGTTTTGAGAAATTAAAAAGCTAATTTAATCGGGCAGGAACAATATGAAAACGTGAGTGGCAAGATACCAAATTATTACGTTCAGTAATCAACTGAGTCACTTTTACACGATGAGCTTCTTCAGTGAAATTGAATCACTTTTGTTGCATTCAGAAGGTTATGAAAAGAAAATAGAATTCTCATTGTGGGCATTCACAGTGTAAACATATTCGACCTGAAGAAAACACTACGAAGGGTGTTCGAAATTCCTTCGCTTGATTTCTAATCACTAATAATAATTTGCTCACCTGTATTTACCGCACAATTATTTCTAAGATGGATTATTTGTTTTCTAATTTCAACTGAAGGGGTCAACCTTAAATCCACAGTTGCTACGATCTGTGAATTCCTATGCAAAACAACCTTGGTTTGCACAATGTGTACGAAATCATTCCGCTTTGTCTGCACACGTGCATCCTTTAGTCAGTAAGTGACTGTGCATCTCCCGTTTGAGGCTACGTCCGTTCCCAGAATAGCTCTACCAGGAGCTACCCACGCAAGGCCATCAACAGTCAGCCGCAGACCTTGCTATCCAAATTCATTTTGATGGTGCCAGTCCGCATTTTTATCCCGAGGTCCAAGCGCCAACGTCATCTTGTGTAAGAATTTGAACAAAGACTGAATCTGGGAAGTTCCATTTTTCTGTGTGATGAATAAAATGAACGAGCCACTAAAGATTTTGACATTGAGCGATCGATGAAACGTGGATAAGATGTGATATTGCATCAAATTTGTTTCATTTTGAATGAACTTTTATAGTTCTTAATTATCTTTTCTTGCACACAGAGATATTCGGAACTGTCGTTCTGCACATAAAACCAAAAGACAACCAATTTTGCGAAAAATTCGTTCCCGGCTCACAGATGGCTTTTCCACCCGCCGAAATCCCACGGCCTGTTCTTCCCGAGAAACCCACACATCTAGTGAAACCGGTGACCAGCTTTGCATTACAGCACAATCGAAATCTGTTGTGCCCATACAAGGCTCAATATGTCACCGGGGTGAGACACTCTACGCTTCTTTTTACGTATGACTTTTAACAAACAGTTACAGTTTTAAATCAGTTAATACAACCGAGATTTCTTAACGCTGAGAGTTTTGAAGGAAATTTTTATTTACCGAAAACAAAATAAGTTGATATGTACGTCTTTGAGATTCATATCAAAAGTAAAAATGTTTTTTATCTGCCTGCTTCTTAATCTTCTACAATGCGAACAAAACAGATATTACATTCTATGAACTGAAAACGAAAACTCTACCTACCGACCCTCAAGCAAAACTCCATCTACTCAAATATTTTGCGAAATCTGCTAAACTAAACCCACGAAAAGCGTTTTGTCTCGCATAACCAAGATTGAATTTATTATCAATCCATCCTTTTGCTACTAGCATTTCTCGGCATCATGCTAATCGGCCTAGCATTACCTGTTCATTTATGATGTGCCAAAACTGAGAGTACCCGGCTGCATCAAGGAGTGTGCTCCCAATTAAGTGAACCTAATCGGTATCCAGTAATACCTGTACTGCGTGTTGTTCGCGAGAAGCCAACTGCTGGGGCCAGCTCGAGAAACCTGGGAGTAATAGGTGGATATCAAAACGTCGTATATCTAGGTAGAAACCGTAAAAAAGCCGATCAATATACACTGCACCAATGATTAATGACAAGAATTAAGCAGATGCCCATTGAGTGCTTTAAACTTTTCTAATGTATTACTTCAATAAAATGAAGACATAAATTATCAGCCATGAAAAATGTAGACAGAAAAGACGAGGTAGCTGAATTTGATCTTATTCTTAATTTACAGTTTCACGATGTTTAGAAGCAAGAAGCGACTAGTGATAAAGACGTAACATAGGGGCATTGGGTTACAAATTTTTTTTGAAAGCATTTTGTTCACAAATGGCAAAAACATGAATGAAATTCTGCTAGGCAATAATAATGTCTCCGACCTTTTCATCTCCAGTATGGTCTTCCAAGTCGAATGGTCTGGAAAATAAAACAATGTGAGTTGCTTTTCATTTTTTCAGTTAAATACAGAGTTTTAAATGCTGCCGATCGACGGGAAAATACTTTGTAGTCGTTAGGGAAAGTACGAAAGTGTACCAATCTGTTGGTGTATCGGTATTTTTATGAATGGAAGGTTTTTGCTTATTCGCAAACACATAGAAGATTAACTAATTTGTTAGCCATGCGTAGAAACCAGAAAGAGTGATTGTTGTCCAGAAAATCATCTTATCCATTCTTTGAATTTTCCGCCTTGATTGTCAATTCTTTCTAGGAATCCCCCTCCCCAATTTTCCAATAGGTTATCATACGAACATTTTGTTTACTTCCTTTACTAAAGAGAATAACCCAATTTTATATAAGAATTACACTTGATCTTTTGGCATCACAGTTCGCGCTTCCCAGGAAAAAGAAACACGTCATATAACCCTATAATTAACACTAATCAAAAAAACAACCGGGATCAAGTGCGGTTATTCAAATCTCCAATTCCACGATACCTCATTAGAGGCCCTTTGTTAGAAGCTGAGATTCATATCAAAAAAGCTTTTGACCGGTTGATTCTCAATCTTCTGCGGAGACAGACAGTGTAGCAAATAAATTCATTCATAAGCACACGTTTTGGCCAATCCAAACAAATTATTTATGACAATAATCAGAGAACACGGTATCAAAGTTCTGCTGCTGCCAAAATTTGTTAACTAAACTTGAGCTTCATAATGAATGTAATCCGAACGATTGATTGTTGTATCTGCAATTAGTGAAGAAAAATAAATATTAATTTTTTATCAATGAAATTCGGATTCAAACCAGGGGTATAGTGTTGACCGGACTGAACCGTGTATCTCTGGTATCTATGGTGAAATTCTTGTGCCCAAAAAACACCATCTATATATAAATAGTGTCGCTAGGATAAATACTCGTACAGGATAGTAAACTACCCATCAAATAATGCCTAAATAAATGATGATTAAAGCCGAGCTAAGATCAAAAATAAGTGGTCTGTGTTGATTATTGAAAGCCAAACGCGATCACCGAACGAGATTCCTTCCCATTACGACGAATCGACACCACAATCAATGCCGTCAACGGGGCTCCGTTCTTTTCAACACTAGATCTAGCGTCGGGGTACTGGCAAGCAAAAATTCGCCCTCAAGATAGAGCGAAAACTACCTTCGTGGTCCCCTCAGGCCTCTATGAGTTCATTACAATACCATTCGGTCTCACAAATGCACCGGCGACGTTCCAGCGCCTAATGCATAGAGTACTGGACAAACTGGTACCGCGAACACGCCTGGTGTACCTGAACGATATCATTGTTTTCGGCGCGACAATCACGAACATAGACGCCTAAAGGAGGTACTCGCCAGGCTTCGCAGAGCGGGTCTAACCCTGAAAATCTCAAAGTGTAACCTACTATGAAAAGAAGTATCATATCTAGGGCACATCCTGTCCGAAAAAGGAGTACAGGTAGACCCCAACAAAGTGGAACGGATCGTGCGATGGCCTGTACCGAAGTCATCTGCAGGTATTCGTTCTTTTCTCGCTGCCGTCGCTGCCCCCCTCTATCGGCTCATAGAAAAAAGTCGAAAGTTCTTGTGGACAGACGAAAGCGCCACTACGTTCGAAAGATTAAAAACGGCTCTTACTACACCCCCGATCCTAGCACTACCGTACACAACACCGACTGCAGATCCTTTCATCCTCGATACCGACGCCAGCGAATTCGCCATTGGGGCGGTGTTGTCACAAATTCAATCGGACACAGAGCGTGTCATAGCCTATGCCAGTCGCGGCCTTGACAAATACAAACGAAACTATTGCATAACTCGACGGGAGTTGCTGGCACTAGTCTGCTTTTTGAATCAATTCCGCCCGTACCTGCTAGGTAGGCCCTTCATTGTCCGCACCGGCTACCACTCACTCCAGTGGCTTCAAAATTTCAAAGATCCTTTGGGTTAAGTGGCCGGATGGCAAGAACAACTCCAAGAATACACCTTTCTTTGTCAGTACCGTCGCGGAAAACAACATGGAATATGTGGTCAAAAATACTGTTCATTGACGGGATTCTATATCTTCGCTCCACGGACGCCGAACAACCGTGGTTAGTAGCCCCACGATCGTTGGTTGCAGAAGTTGTCAGCCGTGTCCACCTGGATCTTGGTCACGCCGATCAGCGAAAAACCGAGGCAGCTATTCGATAGAGATATTGGTGGCCTTTAATCCATCACGATGTTACCGTAATTTGCCGGCACTGTGATACTTGCCAGCGTCTCACTGTCTAGAATTGTCTTTATTTCGTAGAGTATGCCACGAAAACTGAAACTTATTCCTCACTCACTGTGCTCTTGCATGTGATTGGTTGATTGTCTGCTTGATTTTCCAGACCTATGAGATGCTTCAGAAATAATTCTGTTCACTTGTTTCTCTTCACGCACAAAATCAGAATCAGTCACGTGCCGGTTCGGATCGATGTGGGTAATTTGGGCTCGGTCACGCAGGACGATACGCTTATTAAAGTTCAAGGTCAGTGTTGGCCTGCATTCGATAGCAAGCTGATTATAGTTCCAAAATCCGATTCCGCCACTGGGCAAAATTGAGCTTTTATTTCATGAATGGATGTGGTGTTCTGTGCAGAAGAAGAATTTTAAAGCAGAACAGGTAAAATTTTGGTAAACCGACTTTAAAGTGTTCGACAGAAGAAATTCAGAACAACAAAACATGAGGGCGATTAGACTCGTTTTCGCCCATCCTTAGTCAAGCCCATGTATAAAAATAGTTGTGATTAAAATTATCAGGAGGAGGAATGACAAGTTACAGTCCTAATAGTTTTAATTTGACTCGGAACGTGTGTGTGCGTGTGAAACTAATCGTGGTGAAAAAGTTCAATTGATGGCACACATGTGGGGAAAGGTGAGGCGGGTCAGAGAATAGGAAGTGTTTACAATTCCATACTACCTTTTTGCCCAAGTTTCGCAATTATTACCATGAGTTCTTCCTCAAGCCGTGGGTTCGATTACATTCGGTGCTTGACTAGGTTTCGTGTATCAATCCAAAAGTAGAGTAAAAATATTCCAAATTAAGTAAAACTAAAGGGCTTCGGAAGCGGGACAAATGAGAGGAAGTACTATGCATCCATGAGATGGATCTTCTCGATGGAATGTGATTCCACTGGTCTAACCGGGAAAGGAATATTCTGTTATGTTTTGTCGTTTGAGACCGCAATGAACAGAAAAAGATTTAAACGGAAATTTACCGGTTAGAAACGAAAGACGTAGAAAATTATACCACAGGTATATTGTTTATCAAAAATGCCTCTATCCAACTTGGATATTGTGACAGTATTTATCCGTTGAGTCACATCTGCTATCAGCTGAAAGGTTCCATGCATCCCCCAGGAAGTCTCCAACGCTCCTAGTGATCTGCGGCTGCCACAGATGTACTTTACTCTTAACCCGAAATTTCTACTTTGAAGGGCATGCTTCATGCCCACGACCAGGAAATGCTGTGTAGATGCATCATTTTCCCGGAAAATTGCTTTAGTAGTTCTGTTGAATAGCGGTCAAATGTCCCACATAGGACTTCTTGACAAAATCGACCAGTGATACATCATACCACTTGGTTTCAAACCTTCCACTGGCTTATTTCACAGACGTGTACTGACCGTCCATTACGCTGGTGCACCACCGCTGCTGCTGCTGCAGACATCACAGGTAGGCTTTCAAATACACCACTGCCGCTCATGTTTGAATAACAAACATTGGCTGATTGGTACACATGATCAATTTCCATCATTTGTTCCTCGACAAACCTCATTATCGACCACTGTAAACGCAAACGACAGTGTAATTCGTTCAACAAAAAAGAAACAGGAATGCGCCTCCCTGATCAAAATCCATGTTTGTTGAATAGACAAGAGAGGACCGATGGAGACGCAATAGCATGACAAGTTACCGATAACTGTCGCTGGATATGACTGACTGGATATGAAAAAAGAACTAACCCGGCGGTAGTTTGCTTCATTCGGTCAATTAAAGAAGTGAATCCCGTCAAGATGGATCGATAAATCCGTTACCTTACTCAGGCGTGAATGCTGGAATGAATCGTTGCATGAATGGGTTCAGCAAAGGCCCTCAATAGCCTAGTGAGTAAATTTCATTGGGGCAAAAGTCCCCTTCAATAATACCGAATTCTTTGAACCAAGTGCAATTGCCTACATATTTATGCATTTGAGAGGTACAATTGAAAAGATAGATAACAATGGTAGAATGATACAATGAATGACTTAATAGTATTTCACCTGAATAGTGAAACTCAGTTGTCGAAATAACTAATCGGGAATCTTGAGCTCGAAACCCGCCATCGCCACTCATCTTCTCATTTTCTGTATTACCCCAGACAATCTTTGTTTAATGGTTGTAAGAACTGACTGAACTAATGAAAATTGTATTTCTTCTCTGTAATGCCCGGATGAACTAGTGAATAATATCCCCGGTGCCACAACGCAATAACCTGTAATCTATAGATTCTCCTGTCGCTTGTCTCAGCTTGTTGGCATAGATTCTTATCCTTGTTTCATCATTGACCATCCACGTCTCATCTTTTGACAGCCTGGCTTAATCAGTGCGATCCTCATCGTTCAGTGCGTGAGACATGTAGTGATTAGAATAAATCAGTTGTTCATTCTCCAAAGATGACAACTTTGAATCAGGTGGTTCATGGGATATGAAGTAGCGAAATGTACAGTTTTCCTCCCACGGTTGCCTTAAGCTTGATCAGCGAATTTGTCCTTCGTAAGAATGAGTTGCCTGCGTGTTGTGTATGTTCTTACGGTTAAATTATTCAAATTGCATCTCAACAAAAAATCGGAACACAGTACATTTCAACGTTTCTGAATGATGATGCATATTACTATGGTTTTCTATTCTTAAATTTGTCCGAAACATGATGTAAAAAGCCTACAGAACATGATAAGCGTTAGCTTTGTTAAATCGCCCATAATAAAACTTTGTCAGCTATTCAAGGTGACTGAGTGGGGCCAACTGAGCAACAAGGATAAGAATCTATGCCAGAAAACTGAGACAAGCGAAGGGAAAAGCTGTAGATTACAGGTTGCTGCATTGTGGTATTAGGGATATTATTGAATAGTTTATCCGGGCATTACAGAGAAGAAATACAATTTCCATTAGCTATTGAATGAGTTCAAACTGAGTTTTACTATTCAGGTGAAATACTATTAAGTCATTCATTGTATCATTCTACCATTGTTATCTATCTTTTCAATTGTACCTCTCAAATGCATAAATATGTAGGCAATTGCACTTGGTTCAAAGAATTCGGTATTATTGAAGGGGACTTTTGCCCCAATGAAATTTACTCACTAGGCTATTGAGGGCCTTTGCTGAACCCATTCATGCAACGATTCATTCCAGCATTCACGCCTGAGTAAGGTAACGGATTTATCGATCCATCTTGACGGGATTCACTTCTTTAATTGACCGAATGAAGCAAACTACCGCCGGGTTAACTCATTCTCGTCGAAATCTCGCTGTATCAACGGTCATGGACATAACGTTCTCGGATGGGGTCGGGGAACGGACAATAACCTCCCTCCAACTTGAATCCTTCCTCTTTAACTCACTCAAAAAGAACTTTTTTTTCTATGTTGAAATCAATTCACTTCGATTGGACGTGGTTTTAATAGACCCAGTTCAATCCACGATCTGGGGCAGCTGAGGCACCCATCACTGTGTGGGTTGGGGGGGGGGGNNNNGGGGGGGGTCCTAGTAGATTGGGATAGGTTGGATTTGGTTCAAGTTAAAACTGTTCAAGTGAACGTGAGAAGTTCCAGTGTTGATCGAAAACGTATGCGTATACTAGTTCATGATAAATATAAACAGCTAGTTGGGAGTAAATAATTTTGGAATGGAATATAAAAGGTATTTGTCAACATTACCGAATTTTGAATGTGGTAGGTAGGATGGTCGAGTGATGAGGTTGTCGAAACTAACTGATTGGGAATCTTAGTTTGAAACCCGCCATCGCCACTTATCTTCCCATTGTTTTACCCCAGACAGTCTTTGCTATCCCCCCTCCCCCGATCAACCCGAAAGGTAATTGTACCAATAAACGAAAAAGGAAGCAAAAGACATTTGATTATTTTTAATTCTTATAAAAGCTCTGAAAAATTGGATGTAGAACTTGTATAGTTCAAATAAGATAGATGGTCCCCGGAAGCTGTTTCAGCTTGTTGTGTACCGTACTTTCTCCGTGCAATAGCATCATCTGAACAATGATGAGTAGTGCCTGAAACATTGGAAGATTATTGGAAACGACTGAGTTCAGCTTGGTGAGGGTGATGATACATAAAATGTTTTGGCTCTATCATAGATTAAACCACCGATTCTATCAGTCTATGTCCACGTCAGCTGATTGGTTGATATTCACTTCGTCGTTACACATACATGTACACATTACAATGACTTGGTCCTTGAGAAGATCGATGAGCGTCAACCAATCAGACTTCAGTATAGAGCTCTATGTTTCCCAGCTGGTTGGATTTTTACGTTCCGACGATTAGGATAAATGCTCATACTAGTAAAAGAAGTTACCTAGGGATTTGTTGAATTAACTCAAAGCATGCAATGCATTTTCAGGCATGTGAACTTAGGCATAAAACAGCAGGGAAAACAGAGATAATGGAATCTTTTAATATCTTATCCTCCTAATAGGACTGAATCCGAAGGCAGGCAGTACAACTGTTGAGGATGAGAAAATTCGCGGTGACATGTCAATGGTGAGTAAAACCGCATTGCCGTGCTTATTTTGAGCAACACAAATTCGGAACTAAATTCTTTGCATTCCAAGAATAGAGTAGTGGCGATTAGGTTTGCTTTCAATGCATCATCTGACGAAAAACTACCATGTATCATATAAAGAAGGAAGCAATATATGGAAATGGAAAATCAAATTGTTAGGGTGTTTGAAATGGACGTAAGGGGAGATTTGGGAAGTGATTGATCAAGCACCAACCATTAGTTAGTGATAATTTTTTGCGGAGTTTGAATTTTCAATTTGGGTAGTAAGTGATGGTACCTCGGACACATGAACACGGTAGGATAAGCGATCTCACAAAATAGGGCAGATTTTTTATTTGAATTTATATCGCCCGTCTGCTCAAGAAAACGATCGAGCTGTAACATTGCGACGGGATAGATAGGACGAAATGACCCCTGCACATCATCGGCAGCGATTGGTATAAAAAACGCGTTGGAGTTAGTTCTAATCAGTCCTTAACTCAGTCATGTGGAGTAGTGTTCGTTAGATCGATCGAGCACATTGGGGTCAACAAAATTGGGTCTTTGGGGTATTTGAACTTGTTCACGCAAAGAGGGGTTATCTCAATTGCTGGCCTTCTCTTCAACCTGTAATGTACGAAATGCTTTCGAAGAGTAGCAAAGAAACGCTATTTTGTTGAGAAAGGGGTATTTTCCATTGCTTTGCTGATTAATTTGCTCATTGATATTTGCAAGCGTATTGTTTCCGTGAGGCAATTTAATATAAAACATCTTCGCTTTTGCCATTGGATTCCTTAGTTTTA